AGTTTCCCTTTAAGTATTCCTGTCGCCTGCCTGTTGGCACAAATGACGGTGCACGTTACAAAAAAAGTTGGCATGGGTAAAATGAATTTAAGGGAATTTACGAGCCACAACACAACCGGAATAAAACAAGAAAGTTGAAGCCTCTTGCATCCTGAAAACAAAACATGAAACGAACAAAAAATAGACAGAGAAAAGAATAGAAGTAGTGTCATGGATTTCTGATGCCATGTTTTGAGGTTAGTTACTCGTGTAATTATATTTTCATTTCATGTTTTATATATATTCAAACAATAATTACAAATTTTTATAACCAAACTCAACTTGAACTGTAAATATTTTAATTTATTAAAATAGAAACAAGCACACAAATGAATCGGCAGGACATAACAAATAATTCGGCAGCAACAGCCAGATTATTTTGTTCGGGTCAAAAATGCGTTTCGTTCATCTCATAAGCTTAAAATAATCATTCCTGCTTATTGCTTTAGGTTTCCCCAAAAACTTTTTTTTATATTTATTTAAGGACATTGTTTTTAATCAAACTATAGTCATTGGGATTTGAATAGTAACTGAATATGTTCCGACTCGAAGCTGTCTATATTTTTACAAATTTTAATTTGCGTGTCAGAATTATTCTTTCCGAAATCACATACCTTAAAAATGTCTTGAGTCCAGATGTGCCGCTGCCAGCGTAATTTAGAAGCACGCGAGGTGCCGAGAAAACTCCGACGTTCCCGATGAACGCGAAACCGCCATAGTTCTCGCGCTTCTGTCGCTCTGCTTTTCACCGCGTTGCTTGAAGTTGAGGCGTCTTTTGGAAGAAGACATCCAAGGCGTTGATCGCCCTTCTCTGAAGGAAAAATTAAAAAAACCGAAAGGTGGTGGCTGAGTTTTTAATGACGTGCGCAGCTGGAAATGAAACACCCGCGAAACAAAGTGTCATTTAAAGTAATCTTGCGCTGTCTCGGTAAATCTTGGTTTTTCTTCTTTTTTTTTCATTTTTCTTCGTGGTTTTGTTAACTAACTAAACACGTGAACGCAAGTGTGCTTTGAGAATGTGTCCCTCTTGATGGAATCACCGAGCGTAATTCTGGACTCGTATTCTTCTTCGGTCGTCTGGTGCTGAATATATTATTACCCGCAGAAACAAAGACCTCTTGGAGTGTCGTAAATTAGCGCAAAAATGTGAGCTCGTTGGGCTCGCGGGGGTCTAGTGTGTGAGGTGAATTAGATTATTCAATGAGTCAAGCTGTATCGCCGCTTTGCTTTCGAAATGTTTGTTTGCAGCCTCTTCAGTTCTTGAAGCAAGGCAGATTTGCGATGCAGTATAGATTAGAAGAAGAAGCGTTTATAACTTTTTTTCACCATGCAGCAGCAGAATTGTCTATTTTATGACGCTAATATCTCTATTTTATTATTAAATTAGTTCCATGGCATTTTTTGTTGACATCTTTCTTTCTTTTTTGGTGCGACCCTTGAGTCACCTGGTTGGGTACGAAAATAGTCCTAAACATCGACGTACCTGCCGAGTTTACAGCTCAAGAGATTCTGACACGTGGGCAGAGAGGGTGATCCCTGACAACGGCCTCTTTGTTTTCATCCCTTGTAAGAACTATAGAATGTCCAAGTTTAATCGCGCCAGTTGTTTGCTGCGGACTGGAATCTCCGCGACCGTAGGGTCTGTATACAAATGGCTGTAGGTTGCGGCATCCGGCCAGTCTCATTCGCGACTGTTCGATCCGGCTGCCATGCTGACTTTGACATCCCACTACATCTAGCTGCTAATGTACAAGGTGTATAGCAGAAAATCGAACCGTGATTATCTCATTTTAAAAATAATTGACACATCATCCAATGCTCAACCTACATCCAAATGTAGTGCCAGCGGTCCCCGCCTGATGCCACAGTTCGAGAAATTAACGTTATCTAAGTCGCAAGTTATGAGCGATTTACGGAAATTTGCAATATGGAAATTTTGACCAACGGAGCCCGCGATTACATGGAGATGAATGAAGAGCGCTACCGGGAGCGAGTCCTATTTTCTCATGGAAAATTTTCGGAAATCCCTTGTAGCGTTTGAATTAGATGATGGTAAGTTTTCAAACCTTGGCACTTAGTTCGAACCTCTAGTACTACATCTGTTTGCGTGTGTGTGCATGTTTGTGTGTGTGGGGGTGGGGGGGGAGAGAGGAAGGGCGGAGATTGATAGACTGGCAATGTGTGGTTTATTCTAGCGGTGAGAAAAACACGGTTCTCTTTTCCCCCAAACTTTGTGTATCTTGTTTTAAGATCAAAATCGTCTCATTAAGCGTTCATTATTTTTTTCTTCGGATATTTACCGCCTCGTCGTTTTTCCGACAGTATTAGCGGAAACCAGAAAGGTGTCCGAGGTGGGTTAGCACTTTTCCGAGGTAGTCATTCTGGTGAACTTCAGAAAAACAAGTGCATCCCACAAAAAAAAAAAAAGAAAAAAAAACTACATCATTAAAAAACTTCACGAATCTGTATTTGTTAGGAGCTTCTCGTAGTCACCTTAAATATGCAACTATACAGTTCATCGCAACTTATGGCTGCTTATTTCTCAATTGTGCATTTTCTCGAGCGATCGGTGTTTTGTTTATGGACAAATCACGCGCCTCAACGTTCGCGCGGAGCACGTGATAGCCAATCATCGCTAGTGATCGCTAGTGACAGAAGCAGAGCCTTTTATACAGAAAGGCTTCGGTAAACTTTTGAGGATGTCGACAGTCCAGCAACCATTGCTGAATATGTCTACCAACCGGAGAAATGGTGGGTTCTTTCCGCCATTTCGTTTTCGACGCATAACATATACCATGCTCTTTCTGAAGAGCATGGAATGAACCCATCAACATTCAAGTCAGAAATAACGACCGCATCCGAAGATGCTATATGCACATACCGCACTTTTCCGGAGAATGATTATGTCAATCTCGTTGTTCGATAGATTTAGTTTTAAATTTAGATCCAATGATTGGCTGGTGCTTTCTGAGAAAGAAGAACACACAATTAGTGCGTCGATTACGCGAAATTATACAGTACCGTGAGCATAGAAAGACTGAAGGAAACATTTTATTAAGGAGTACCTTTCAATAAAAAATCAGGACTAGAAAAAATATATGTTGCCCTGTCAAGTGGGTCTGCAGTTTTCGCAATAAACGCGAGCGTAATTCATGGGGTGACGTAGCTAAGATAAGCATTATCTTTTTTATTAATTTTTACATTTGAAATATTTGTTTGACGGCTGCGCTTCACAGAGAAGGAGCGTAAGGATACTTGAAAGCAAACTGCGATATTTCAGTGCTGCTATATAACGAACAGAGCTGAAAATTTTTAGAAATCAATCCTGAGCTATTTTAGGTGGTGTTTATGAGTGACTAATCCAAAAATATGTTTTTATTAATTCTTAACGCAATGAGGGTAAACTGCAGTGATAACGCCAGTATTGGCCGATTGTCATCTCAAGAGGCAGACTTATACCATAATTCATTGTGGCGATTCTACATGAAGTCATATAGGCTCGTTCAGGCAACCTCCAGGTAAAGTAGCTTTTTTTTAATTTTGTCAAGAAAATATATGCAGTTGACAATTGTATGTGTATAACTATAGGCTATGATAGACATAGCTGGCCCTTTTATTCGTAGTTCGACTATGAAATCAAGAACGACCGTGTAATGTTTCCCCACCCATCATTGATCTTCTGTCCCTCGGAATCTGGACCCATAAAACGTTTCACGGCAATTTACGTAAATGACAAGAGTATGAATAGAATAACATTTCTAAAAAAAAAAAAAGAAAACTACTATCTTTTTTTTTATCTCAATCTTTTCTTAAACTTTTGTTTTACGTTTTGATTGTGCGAGTAGATACGATATAAAATATCAGCTCTTTGCGCACTCGACGCATTTTACGTATATACGTAAAACTAGGACTGTACCCCTATGGATGTTCATAATATAACAGCATAAATTAAAACTGATGTATTGTATAGAATCTTTACAGCAATTTTCACTCCCTTATTCGGTCGTCAAAGCGGATTTTTATGACTTTATGATGCAAATCACAGATACTCAATAATGCCTTCCTGTTTACTCAAAATCTCCACTCATGACTAATCCCTCTACATCCACGAATTACGCAGAGTCCCTCCGTCGAAGCATAACTATGTAGCTAAACTTACCTGGTGTGTAGCAAGCGACTCTCCGAACGTCCCCCGACGTCGATCTCGTAGTGCTGAGAAGACAACTCCCCTTTACTTCTTTGACATTTCAGCTATTCTTATTCTTCAAGCTGAATCTCCGTAATCCAATAAAAAGTTATAATAACAAGTTTTTATTCAATGCTCATCTACTTTCTCCGAACAAAAAATTACATTCCGACGAGCTAACTTCATGATGTAAATTTTAAGTTTAGCCTAAAACCTCTAAGTTTGTGTAAGCGTTTCCAAAGCATAAAATATAGCCAATATAATTACCTACCCCTTTACACACAAAGTCGTCATTATATATGCTTTAAATTTGTTTTAGATCAGGTATCGTAAATACCAAAGCCATATGCGTCATTAACATCCTACACTCACTAGATATCCTATAGCGAAATTGGCAACATCAAATAACACAAAAGCATGTATGCACGAAATAAACCTAATATGTTATTAAAATATTCAGCAAGACCTTGGAAGGGATCGTATTGGCTCAATCTCATCCCACACTTTTTTTTCTCAAGGAATAATCTTTTTCTTTTTCTTATTTTTTCTTTCTTCTCAGGAAAGTTGAGTCAATTTTATTTCTTGAAATCTGACGTTATAGTAAAATAGTACGTGCCGTAGGCACAAAATATATCTTACATAAAAAATATATACGACAATAAAATCTTCCCGAGTTTTACCAAAATAAGCAGTCACCGTAAAAACGTTCACTTCCTTTATCAACGTGTTTACATGAGAGTAAGTAGATGACGTTGGTAAAATGCTTTAAAACAAACATTTGTACAAACATTTACTATATCTTAAAAATTCTCACAGACCTATACATCCAGCAATAAATATACAAGAGAAATGCGCGAGCAATATATTTGCGAGCATTTTGAAGCAAAATGCGAGACTAGACAAACAAATGTTTCTGAAATGCCACACACTCCCAAAAAAAAAATGAAATGAACTAAACAATTCAATCAAGTTTTGGCAGCATTCTACATGAAGTTTCCAGGACCTCTCGGTGACTTTTTCACCCATCGACGCTGTACACACAAACATAACAAAAACACAACAAAACAACAGCGCATAAATTGACTTGGATGCCGCTACGAGTACAATACACCATTGGCTAATTAGGGAGTTCTAGGGAACCGTTGTTGCACATCCGATACAACACGATAGACCCTCCGGTATGAACTGCGCATGCGCTAGCGGAGATGATCCGCGCATGCGCAGTTCGTACCGGAGGGCGCATCGTATCGTATCGGACGTGCAGAAACGGTTCCCTAAAACTCCCTATTAAGTGACTAGACAAGGTAAGGACGTTGGAACACCAAACATCACCGCATGTATGAAAACACCCTTAATTTAAGCAGTATGCCCCATTGTTTCATGCTCATTACATTTTAGAGATTCACGCGCAACCTAAGCTAAGATGTATTATTCTATGGCCACCAGCGTAATTGTTGAATTATCGCTTCATGCAAACATAACAGTTGCAAAATCGCACTTTAAGAATATATAATATTGAACATCGTGTGGTTTACTGTAAAGCCTGAGGAAACAGGAGATTTTAGTCGAGGCATATTAGTTATCCCGATAATCACAAATGCTTTAAAAACAGAGATGTTGTTTCTTCTTTTTTTTCAAACAGTCTAAAGTTGTTTTTCTAAAGAATTTACTTGCACCATTGTTAACGCCATCGCAATCACAATCTTGTGGACAAGGATAGTGAAAGGGGCCTCGCATCTCAGTCAGGTATTTTCTAAGAACAAAACAGTAACGAAACAACATCGAAAGACAAGGACTGAGCAGAAATCAAGATCAGCATTGCACAGCAATTCTCTAGAGATCATAGAGTTCCCGAGAAAATGCTATATTATTTCTGTCGACCTAACCAATCAGCCGCACGTTGGCTGAAATGATCACAACATATATTGAAGACAACTAACGAATGGCTATTGCAAATACCAGAACATTCGTTCATCGCCCAAAGTAGGTATTGTCTCACGTTCTTATATTTATGGAAGTAGACCGCCTGGCATTAAAAAGCTCTTTACTATCAAAATGTTATATTCTATATCAAAGCATAAAATAAGAGACACGCCGAGTTGCCTCCACTTTTGTTTTGTAGTATATATCTGCCTCATTTAAGCTTTATATCAGTTGGTAAGTTTCTTTTAGCTTCCAGCTGTTCATCCCTCAAAGTTGTTTTTTTTTTATGTTGTTTTTCTTGTACTTTTGTAAAAATTCAAAGCATTTATGGAGTGAATACAGACAATTAAAAAAAAACAATATGATTCAGGCTTGGCTACGCCCCTGTAATGTGAGGGTTTAATTTTGAGTCTTGTTTCAATGGGTTAAAAACGTGATACCAAACAAAATACGTTGGCTACGTGACAATAGAAAATTATAATCGACGCTGGAAATCAATATTTCTTCCGGAAACATGATTTTTCACTAAATCCAGAGATAGAGATACGTCGAGCAGCACGTGATATGCCAATTGTGGATGCAATTAATTGAAACGTATGAGCAGTGGACGTCATTCGCAATTCAATCGAACTAATATTTTTATAAGGCAGTTTCGTTCGATTAGTTCATACCAGGTAATAAGTAGGACACATGTAGTCCTGAGAGAAACAAATTTATCAAGATTACGATCCCGCATGAGAAGGTACAGCGCGTCCCCTTTCCTTCCCCCTCCCCCCCCCCCCCTTAAGAATTTACAGCGTCTTTTTACAGTAAAAGTAAACAACGCGCTGCTGAACGCTCATTCTACGCCCAAACGCAGAACCAGCGGTCCGAACCATATGCCAAAGTTTCTGAACTAACCGTTACACCATTCCAAAGTTATATCTGCTTTCCTCAAAATTTCACTGAGAAAGTGAAGCCCGTATTCGCCAGTTGTCCGTAACTGGCGTCATTCAGCTCCGTGTATTCCAGGCTCCGTCGGCCATCATTTTTCCATTGCAAATATGGGAACATCTCTTATAGCGTTTGAATTAGATAGTGGTTAGTTCGGAAACTTTGGTATTTCGTGTTCGCACCGCTAGGGCTACATTTGGGCGGAGAATCAGCGTTCGGCGATGTGTAGTTTATTTTTTGAGGGAAAACAAACTCTAAAATGTTTTAGGAAATCCTTGTAGATTTGTTACGACTAACCGAGCTCAGCAAGAAAAGAACGCTCGCAAAATTTTCAATTTTTTTTTTCATACATAAGATCATAAAGTTACGCCTAATTTCTACTGCGAAATACCAAAACAAACAAATGATAAACAAGCGCCACTGTACCTTCTATTGTGCGCACTCTGTTTTAAGGTACCAATGCGACTGTACTAATATACCCAAAAACGCCGGCATTCAGATTGCTTGAGTGGCAAGCAAAATAAATAAAGTCTCGGAAGCATTTTTCTGGAGTGTTGGATTATATAAACATTTTCAAGATCACACAAAGCTTTTGTGGTCATCACTGCGATACGTACGAACTTAAGGCTGGCTCACACACTTGCGTGAGTTCGACCGAGTGCGACGGCAACGACTTGCGGCGTTAAACTTTTTACTGATTGCTATGGCAACGGGGCGGTTGTAAGCGGCTTAAAACTCCCACGGGGTACGTTTTTTGTTCGGGATGTTCGGTTTAAATTTTTTTCCACAAAAAAAAATGAGAGCATGCGCTGCTCGCGGCATTAAATCCCAGGATGTGCACTGATACATGGGCATTATCGCAAAACAGCTTCTAAAACTAACCAATAGGTAACCGAATTGGCGCGCACTAGAAATAACCATGAGCAGCGGTCTTTATCACTGAGGACCGGGATGTCATCTAACATAACACAAATCATCCTACCCCCAGATCTAATTGCCTTCCAACTGAACTTACGAGCGAGCACCGCACACATTAAATATTCAAAACGAGTCATGTTTACAAGTTCAAACAGTGCTGCGGGTCGACACCAACTTCGTCCTTATCCCACGTGTCCTCCCATCCCAACGACATCACTGCATGCTGAGTTCGCAACTGATCGATGACTTACATCAAGCTGACCCATGTTTTTGCCTCTCATAATGCCGGCATTGCTTTATACAGGGAAGTGTATGACAAGTGCCCCTCGTTATTTGATCAATTACGGCACTATTCAATCAATAATAAGCACCATAAGCAATCGTCGATTGAAGTTGGGTAGACGATGTAGCGTTCATAAACCCGTAAATGCCTCCCCGTATCGTAGAACTATTTTTGCCGACACGCACAAAGGTTCAATGGAGGTCTCGATAAGGACCAAATACGTAATAGGCACGGTCACTCCTTCCGTGATGGCCTCATAGAGCTAACACGTTCGCGCTCACTGTTCATGGTCACCCAAGGCAGGCGTGAGTGTCTATTACAACGGTCATCAGTCAAGGAAGGCGATGACTGCCCATGCCACCGTTCCAAAGCCTTTCTTGAATCTCTGACAGACAGTCTTGCGCTGCCGTGGAGCTGCCACCTTAAGATGGTTTCCAGGTTTCGAGATTCCCTGCACGGGGCCCTTGAGGGCTGCAAGACGGCGCTCGGAGAGACCAAGGTTGTATCGTAGGTGTTGCGGCAGCTGCTCAGCCTTGAGTCGCTTGTTCATGTAGTCCAAGACTAACTTTAGGTCCCGCGTTTCCAGAAGACTTTGAGCCACCGGATCTCGAAGGAATTCCTCGTTTAACTGAAAGAATCTAACGTGGATAGCGTCGTCTCCGAGCAGAGCCCGCCTGTGCTCGGGTGTGGGATCGAGCCTCTGCTTGAGACATGCCTGGGTTGCCCAGCGGACCAGGGCGTTGGCCACCGAGATTTCGGATTTCACTCGTAGAGAACTCCTAGCCACCAGGTCGGTCACGAGGGGTTGAGGTAGGTCACAGAATTGGTCGCTAGATAGCAACCATTCGGCGTTGAGGTCTATCAGGTCTTTACAACGGTCCTTGACTTCATTTAGAAGGTTCTCCTGCGGCTCCACCTTGCCAGTGATGAGCGACAATTGAGTCAAGACCTCGAGAACGTTATCCGCGTCAACGTGTGTAAGTAAGTAGTTCAAGCACCAGGTAAAAAGTTCGGGCACCATGTACTCGTCGGCAGCGTGCACAAGGGCCAATGTTGATGCCACGCAGTCCAGGTACACCTCTTGTGAATACAAAAACCTGCGCAGACAACACAAACAGCTCTTAGAAACAAATAGCTTTCGAGATATGTGCATGGAAAATTTAACATTGTTGATATTTTTAGAATATGTCTCCTAGTTGTTCACCCGATAAATATGCGGGTTTTATTCCTTGCAACAAATTTTTAAATACGAAAAAGACAACAAAATTATCCGCAGAATTGAATTCCTCTAAGAGAGAGAGAGATATAGAGAGAAAGGGGGGGGGGGGGCATAAAGTAGAGTCAATATTAAAAATGTATAAACTAACTAATATTAAAAGATGCGCATTCAAGAATGAACACATCTATTGCATTCGTTCTGCCAGGAACAGCTTTCCCCCAAACGAGATCATTTTTATTTTACCTTTTTAGCTGCCTAATGTTCTACCCAGTAAACGTCCAAGATCACATCAGATAATATAAGCAAGCGAATGCCCCTTCTTACGACTTGTATATTTTAAACGGGACCCCGAATCCCAAAATTTTGTCTGCCCTTCCGTCCGGGTATTTAACGCTAAATTTAACGGGGAACGTGACGTCACGCGACCTAAACACCGATTCAGTTCCCCACTATATTTATCGGGAAAAAGGATTCCACGTGACCTGACATTATGAGATGTATACATCGATTTAGTTTTCCCGCTAAATTTAGCCGGAAAATTCACATCACATGACCGGACACGTTTCCTTACTAAATTTTGCTGGAAAATTGATGTCACGTTACTTCCTCACGAGAACTATCCACCAACTCAGTTTCTGGGCTAAATTTGCAGGGGAAATTTATGTCACGTGACCCGGCTTCAAGTGACCTGTACACCAATTCAGTTTCCCCGCTAAATTTGGCGGGGAAATGGATGTCCCCTGACCTGATGTCACGTGACCTATATGCCATCTTTGTTTGTTTGTTGGTTTGTTTGTTTCGCTAAATTTACCGGGACATTTGACGTCACAGAACATATCGTCGCGTGACCTATACTTTTATATGTACATACCGTATACAGACTGTTTTTACGTATTCTTTCAGATTTGTTTAAAAAAAGCCGTAAAGCTACACTTATGCGGTTTGTGCATGTGAGTTATACGGCCAAGAAGACATAGTATACGGAGATAGTCGCAACTATTAGTCGGCTAATTAAGTAAAATTTGTTAGCTAACTTTTTAATTAGTGCAAATAGACATATAGTTCCAATTAGAAACTTGCTGAGCATCATCGAAAACCACTAAATCAACTCTTTTTAGAAGGATATAATGCCGGGGCAGCATTTTCCGGCGTTCAGTAAAAACGCTCCATTTGGACGCGTTTCTAGATTTCGGCTCCATATCGGAGCGCATCTACGCGCCCGCAGTCCTGCTTCCCAGTGGCTGCGACGCGCAACACACATCCGCCCTACTTACTCCATTCTACGAGGGAGGCGAGGGGGTGGCTTCGCGCCGCGACCACCGGGGAGCAGGACCGCGGGCACGAAGATGCGCTCCGATAAGAAACCGAAATCTAGAAACGTGTCCAAATGGAGCGTTTTTACTGAAAGCCGTAAAACGCTGTCCCGGCATCATAACCTTTTAAAAATAGTTAATTTAGTGGTTTTCGGTGATGCTCAGCAAGTTTCTAATTGGAACTATATGTCTACTTGCATTAATTAAAAAACTAATTCACAGATTTTACTTAATTAGCCGACTAATAGTTGCGACTATCTCTCTAGACTATGAGCTCTTGGCCGTATAACTCACCTGCGCAAACCGCATAAGTGTAGCTTTCACGGCAGTTTTTAAACAAATCTGAAAGAATAAGTAAAAGCACCCTGTATACTGATGCCACGTGGCCTATACTAAACTATAGTGTATATTGTCTTCTAAAGAAATTAAAGCGATCGCTCCTTAAACACTGCATTTCATACGTTATAAAACTTTGGAGGTAAAGTTCGTTCTTAATTTTCATGCGTTATAGGCCTTTTCACCCAACCTCGCATAGGCGCTGCCATCTTAGAATCAGGTGATACGGCCGCCATTAGGTTGATTGAACTCGTCGCTCCGCTCTCCCCTCCGCGCCTTGCCGAAGGCGTTGAATGCATGTTTCGGTCGTGTTTCACCGCGTTTTCTTTCCTTAATCCGGAAAGTGTCATTCGGCACTCATTTTAAATACCTAATTGCATTACATTATTACGTTCCCAACTTCTGCAGTTACTTTAGTAGCATGTTTTGACTATTTTCACCGCCTGCCTACCGGATACCTGCAATGGCAATATATGATGCAGGCTGAATTAACGTTAGCACTGACGCACATTGAGTATATAGATTACTTTAAGATAGCCTCGAGGGTTAAAGATCAATTACTTATGACAACTCAAGTTTGTTTACTAATATCCGCGGAACATTTGCATTTACGCGAAGAAAGGTGGCAAAAACAATTAGCGCAAGGAGCCACTTTGTGTATATCCTTAAAGCATCGTTCATTATATTTATACCAAATCGAAAACAGTCTTTTTTAATTGTATGGGGGATCTCGTAGAGGAAATAGGCAGCGAACGTTTAACGTGCACTTTATATTATGCTAGGGTTCATGGTACATCAGCATCAGGCGGTTTGTTTGCTCACATTACACGTACATCTCTTTGGCGTTCTTAATCGTTTTTCGCGATATAAACGTTCGCTTCACGAATTAAAAAAAAATACTGCAAACGATTTAATTTTCGCGAATTTCGCCAATCGCCGACAATTCGCGAAAAATAGGTCCCGCGAACAATTCCCGTAAAACGTAAGCAGATACTGAGATTCCATCACGTTGCGAAAATGAGAACCCGCGAATTATTCAAAAACTTCTGCTTTGACCTAAATCGCGAGATATTGAGCCCGCGAAACATAATGCGTTTACAGTACACCATAATCAGTCCCTGTTCCCAGTGTTTAAAGTGCTTTAATGATTTGATTAAGATAAGCAGTTCAATAGAACTCATTTATATAAATGCAAATGTCGCGATTTTCAGCATGAGAAACTGTCAGAAGACAGCTGGAGAGTAGTTTGGGGTTAGCAATATATGACGCCGAGAAAAAGCCGTCTACATGAATATCACTCGAGCGCGGCGCTGTCGATGGTCAATAGAGATTTAATTTCAGTGCCTGGCGGCGCCAAAATATACATCATCTTTTGTGGGGACCCTCTCCCTGGCTCCTCCGCGCTCCGTGACCTTGCTGGTCCCCGCCGCCGTACCGGCCGTACTATCGGGCGCTCCTTCGTTCCCCGTGACCTTCCCGTTTACCGTCGCCGTCCTGTCGCGGAACGTCCGAGCTCTCCGGGAGGGACGGGGCAAGCGCCCCCTCACCCAGCGCTGACGTCGGAGGATCGGCTCGCAGCAAGGTTCCCGATTGGACGGTCGGCGGGACAAGGACTTGGGAAGGTCTCAAAAGGGGAACGGAGACAAAGGAAGAGGGTTTGGGCTGCCGACTTCACAAGGGACCGGTCATGGAGGCGAGCTCGGACGGCGCTGGACGCTGGCGCAGGGAGTGCGGGCACTACGTCGAGTGGCGGACTCGACAAACGGACCGGACAGCGACCCTGGACGACGACGTCCCCATGACGCGGTGTGGATGACCACCGCTGGGACTCGGAGCAGCTGCTGTGGCAGCGGACTCTCCCCCGGCCTCGCTGATGACCGTCCCCCGATCCCGAAACCCCCCAAGGCAATGAGTGAGTGAATAAACCCTTTTGCCGAGAGCGAAGTATTGCAGTGTCATATTCATCCGGAGACAGGGTCTGAGGGAACCGGAGTTAGAAGATGCCCGCACTTTTCAAACAAGCAATGATATATCTACACAGGTCCATGAAATTGCGCCTGATGTTCGATTTCAGTCATATATTGGCGGTTTCTTTTTTTTTTTTTGTTATTGATTTTATAAGGCAAATTTTACTGAAGCCAGATGTCTGGCTTAATTTGACGTGTCTGTCACTTGTGTAACACCTTGAGTAAACCAACATTCTGAAATACGGTTAATGAGTACTTTAGCAGGGCCGATAATGAAAGAATTGACCAACTCGGCCTAGGTCGGAGTATTAAAATAATCATTGAGTACTTAGTTTCTTTAAAGAAGTCAGGCCTATATATGAAATACCACTTCTTTTTTATAGATTATTTATGTCATAATGGCAGATTTTTCGGTTTGCGAAATTCAAAAGAAGTTGTTGTCCGCTAAAACCAAGCAGGGAGCAGTAAACTTGCGAGTTCATATGTCCTTCGCGATGCAGCATACGGTTAATCATGTTGGGGATCTGCTTCTTCCCTATGTGAGAATGCATTTGTCTCATCATTAGTTTATTTTTCTGCAATCTAGTTCCATCGGGTACGACCGTATACGACGCTAATTCTCCCCGTGCGTCAGTTCAGTCGTTTCGTCGCCGAATCTAGCTGAAATTAACTTAACAATGTACGCAATAAGATTCATCAAAGGTGCTTGTAAAAATACCCGTAGTTGATGCTCGAATTCCTTCTCAAAGTAGCTCAGTAGCACTGTTTCGTTGGTTGTAGGCTACAAGGGACACATTTGTTTTACAAAATTAAGCGAAAACGACATTAAACAACAAACACAGTCACGTGCGCTCTGAAACCGAAACCAACCAAATTGAAGTAACTTAATGGCGGCGAGTGCATCAGCGCCCCTTATCCGCAGGTCAGGCAGCTACTGAGATGAAAAGGTCTAGAGTATGGAGCAGATCGTATCAAATATTTCCTCTTTCCAATAAGCGGCTAGCACGTGCGTTTTTCATTTCCACCAAGGCGGTCTTGTCTTAGTGACATGTTGGAAGTGAAATCAGCGTCTCTGGCAAATGTTTCTGCGCCTACTCACCCGTAAAACGCCCAGACAGCGAATCACTGTGATCTAGGGAGCAAGCTCGAGAACAAAGTCGGAAAAACGTTTTCATTTGAAAATAAGACCGGATATGTAACATTAAGCCTAGTGTTTCAGGTGCTCATGTGATGCCCAATGTCGCGACGCCAACTTCACTTTTATCTTGAAAAAAAAAAAAGAAATACAAACTTAATTCACGGACCTCCCTCCTCATATCGAAGTGATTGATGTGCTTGATGTTTTACGAAGAGGTAGACGCACGGGTATTTTTGAAGCGAGAGCGAGTTTGAAGAATGTCAGCACAAGTGTGTAACACAAAGTATTCTTCCGAACAAGCAAACTCACGCAAGTAACTTAACAAAGACGTCCGGCTGCATCTTGGGAAGCCGCAACTCCGCTACCGCACAGCCGTCCCCGACTCGCTGGGCGTGACGAAGGAGGTTATCGAGCACCGGGCTCTTGCGTAGCTCCTTCTCGTGGGCCGGAAACCTGCGTCAAGTAACAAGCAGCAATTCGCAAGTTCGCCAAAAGACACCTTTATTTAGAAAACAAGCCAGGCTCAGCGTGCTTGCTTAAACTGACTAGAAACGTTGTTTTTTTTTGTGTTTTTTTTAAGCAGTCAAAATGTCCCAATTGCCGAATGGATTTAGCAGAGAAAAACTTAGAAAATAGTGTTTTCGTTAGCCTGTTAGGAAGTGTTAAGGTTTGACGTGGTAAGCACTCGAATTCATTCCCAACAATCATGGACATGGTCCACTTGCGCCATCTATCTTCAGGCGCAAATACCCTGCAAAAGTTTCGATGGAAAAAATCGTTTTCTCGTCCTAAAATAAGCACAATTTTCAAAGCGCCTTCTGACATGGATTCTTGATAGGCGTTGACATCGCCTACACACAAAAAGAGAGCCTAAGAAAGACTGGAAGGTTGTTCCAACTGCGATTGAAATTCTGCTTAGATGGCATGGGAAATCTCAAGAGAGAAACGAAGTTTGGGGTACTAAATTAATCTACGCATACCCCTAAAACAAGTATGCGTTGGTTAAGGAGGCCGGGAGTAAGGAAGTATGAGCGACTTCTTTAGAGACGATAATTCACGGTAATACCAATCAGAAAAGTTCCTAAACTCCTCTCCCGTCAAAAAAAAAACTTCACCTCGCTTCAGGTAGACTACAATTTCGTCCTACACTTAACATTTCTTTCCATTTTATTCAATTTAATTATGTTTTATTGCAGCATAAACAGCAACTTGCACCTTGGCAAGCATAAATACACTGACAGCATATTTATGCATGCTAAGCTTTTTATTTGTACATGACATATGAGAGCCCAACTACCCAGAAGACAATTTGCGGCACGAAATTCGTTTTTCTTTCCACGCGAAAACTGCCGATCGAGAACTGGCAGGTTTGAGTCACGCTCACTCTCTTCTTTGTGGTCACGTGCCGTTTTCTATGGTTTATACACAACCGTTCAAGATAATCACAACCGTGGGTTATCGAAGGAACGCACTTAATACTAAAAATGAACAAAAAATATGATACCCATTTTTTGTGGCTTCTAAAAAATTGCAAATACGTCAACCGAAAAAAAAAAAAAAGGTTGCACAGCCACGTGATTTTTGGTAACATTCTCCTCCTCTATATTTCTTCTTCCTCCACAGTAGAGTTTCTGTTTCGATTTCGAGCAGTTGCGTATTTTGTCTTTAATAAAAGTATACGTGACACTATAGCAAAATATTGATTGGGTAGTCTCCGCGTATTATATCAAATCGCGAGGCAAAAAATTAAAAAAAAACTTTGGAGGGGGTGGGGGGAGTGTGCCAGTGTCCCTTTAAGAAAAGGATTTCCGGGAAGAACTTTTATCTTATGATGCGGCTAAACAGAAGTTATTTTGTTGCGCATAACAGAACACAAAAGAATGCTGATGGCGTCTTTGTCAAAAATAGTTTTAAAGGCGACTACTGGAATCAGATCCAGGCGAGCAGGGCGAATGATCTCAGAGGAATTTTATTTCTTCATTTCTTTTGTGATCCTAAAATCATGTTCGTCGCCGTCGCTGGATTGGCTATAAAGGACGACAACTACAACACAAAGGGTGTTTCATGGCAGGCCGCCTCGGTGGCTCCGGGGCAAAGCGTCGGCTTGCTGATCCCGGCCGAGGTGCCCGCAATATGACGAGGGCATACTGCGGAAGGCGCCGTGTAACCGAGCTCTCAGTTACACGTCAAAAGATCCCCAGATGGTCGAAATTAATCCTCAGTCCTCCGCTGGGGCGTGCCAGATGCCCTTCGTTTGGTAGGCGTGTAAAACCCCCAAATTTGACTTTTTGTTTCGTGGCGAAAGATTCATACCAGAGTTGTTTCATCGCTACTTTCATTGTCTGTACAAAATAGCAAGCCAGCAAGCCGTGACTAACCCCTTAGGTTAACCTTCTCATCATTGTTTTCCATTTCTTTCTTACTTCATACTCGCACTATAGTTACCGAGTAGGGTCACACACTTGCGACTGGCTCAATAGATGTGCAGCACAAATAGAAACAAGAACCGATTTCGTCTGACCAATTTTGATAACTTGACAGGCAGCAATACCTGGATTACATATCAGTGGCACGTGCACTTCGAAAGTAGGGCCTTTTGATAACACTGTAGGCGATGCTAGTTTTTATTTTGTTATTACCAAGTTGTTCCAGAAGAAAGAAGCGCGATACACATAGGAAGCTGCTAGAGACAGTAGGCATATGCGTGAAGATTGAGTCTTTCCATGTCTGTGTCTTCTGTAATAATGCTAGGAGGGACTCGCGAAGTACACTGATTTGAAGTGAACGCCTTAATTCTTCAGCCAATTTCCTTCTTATTTCGGTACCAGTACTGGGCAATTCAGTTCGTTCAGAAATTACCAGCAAGGCCAATGTAAAACGAAACACTCAGAAACCCGCATCTGGTCAAGAAGGAATGAGACGAGTATTGTATTCTATTTAATTTTGATATTTTATAGCTTCGAGAGTCCCTTGCAACACATGAAAAAGACTATTTGCGAAAAAAGCATTCGTGCAAAGTTTAAACTTAGATTTGTTGTGTTTTAAGATATTAGTCTAAATATATTAATGTAAAACAATTATAAATATTTAGTTGTTATGTACAACAATATATTTGCCTTAGTTGAACAGCAAAGGTCCTGAATGTTCCGTAAATATCATATTTATATAGAATATATGGAATTTATTTTGTGTATTTGAACATCACAAGCCCTTTATGGGGGAATACATTAAAATATTTCAAATGCACCAAGGTGCTTTAAACACTTAAAAAATATAACCATATATAGTTAATTTTCACAAAACTGAAAGATAGTCCTACGGATGCACCGTACCCACAGTTCCTGTGTGCCAACGTTCATTCTTTAACTTTTGCAGCGTCAGCTGTCAGCCTCAAGCTCTCCGCAGATCGTTGTCGTATCCACAGAATACTTCGCTCTCTCCACGCCCCAAAATGTGGATTACCGGTCACATATGTAATGTAGCGTTTTTTTACTCAAACGCCTCTTCGTGCATTTTAGAAAACTATTATGCTTAAAGTGCGCCTTTTTTTTTTAGCATGGCTTTCAATGAGTAGCATGCCCACTCTATTTGTGACTCTCATTTTACCAAAGTTGTGATATGAATTTGCCATCGCAATCAATTATTTATGTAATTAAAAAAAATCATGGTCTACTATTCAACTTTCTCACATCCCAACAAGTTCTAGCCTTCACGACATGATGAAGGACAGACCATTTGACCAAAATGTAAATCGATTCGATGAAACGACTTTGGGTGAAGTGTGTGGCAAGCGGGCGTTAAGGTAGTGTAAAACATCAACCAGAAATGCCAAGTCGCCCACCCGGTTAGAATTAGAATGTTTCTGCCAAGCCGTCTTTTTATGGTGAAAACTGCGATCCTGCGATCTCTTTAAAAAAGATTTAAAAAAAAACAGCAAAACTCTCGCTGTGTTTATGTAGTACTGGACATCACCGGTAGTAAGCCTCTGTGTGCGACAAAACTGTTGAACACTTTTAATGCAGCAAGTGAATAACGGATAACGTACTTACGTTACTTATTTCGAGTAACGTGTAGCCGTAGTCACGTCACCCCTTACTTCTTTTTCCCAAAAACTTCCAAAGGAATCACACTTCAATTTTTCTTTGTGTTTCTAGGTGCCAAGTTATGAATTTTTGCACCCGTCCCGCATTTCGCTCGCAAGTATTCTGGTGGAACCGTAATAAATAGGAAAGGGTAATTACGCTAAGTTTCTGCATGGCCATAACGTTTCTTGACATTATGTCGATGCATCCTGAAAATGTTTTATTTTGACGTCACGTAGGTCTGAAACGCGTTCTTTTTATTTGCAAGTAACAAGTAACGTATTTCGTTACGTTTTTCGCCTATAACGCCTTCAAAAATGAATATGTGTATGTGGGGCGGGGGATCGTTATTGATAGCGTGCCGGGGGCCGCATATTATTGCCTTGTGGGGTGGCTCCAGCCCGCCCTCCGTGGATTCCGATAGTAGCAAACGCACAAAGACTATAATTACCGTGACAATGCACTGTTCACGCTCCTTAATTGTCTCCATTGGGTTATGGCGTCGACTGCGCCCGGACTTGGTGTGAAACATAGTCTATGCTCAACTCCTCGAACGAAGGACAGACCTGCGCTCCTCCGGGCCGACGAGGACCACGACGTCCCTGCGGTCGTCACAGAGGCTGATGTCCGGCGCCGACGGCAGTGCGCCCAGAGGCGGCAGCGAACAGCCCAAGCTGGTCTGCGTGTGTGGAGACCTCGGATGGGGCAGCGTGCTGATGGCTCTGCTAGAGGAGCCTCGGAAGCTCCGACGGCAGCACCGGCACCTGTCGCCCATAGCGCGTCGGCCACACGCTCCACACTGCACGAAAGAGTGTCCCATGATCAGTCTTTCTTGTCTTTAGAACATGATTTGGGCGCAGGTTACATCAACATTTCGCCATTTTTAAACAAAAAATATGAAAATATTAGCCACCTAGGTACAGGCTTGTAAGTGCAGCCATCTCTCCAAGATGTGGCACTCACTCAAAGCGACGTTGTTAGGCCCAGTACGCTTAGTACAAAAAACCGACGTGTTCTGTTTGGGAGACAATGTCGGAAACACCCAGTGTTGGGAAGTACTTGAGGTACGTTGTATTTAAAGTACTACTTTAAGTAGGTTTAGAAAGATTGTACTTTATTTGAAGTACATTCTCTAAGTATGTGCTTGTACTTTACTTAAAAGGAAGCTGAAAATAAAACGCGTTAGAGGTGAATTCTGGCGTGTTTTTATCCCGTGAATCTGAATATCACGTTCCCTTTCCCCGAAGATGTAACTAAACGCGAGAAAACACAAAAACCTCCCGCCAGTCGTGACCTATTACTAGGATTTTTGGGCTGCCAAGCGCGTGTCGCTCGTGTGGGCAGAGCGTGCAATTGCAAGCTTACCAGGTATATTTCCCCACACTGACACCAGTCGTGACGTCCTTTCTGACTTTCTGGAAAATAACAAGGGTGCGCGTGCATAGCTTTGATAGGCGCTGTAGATGAGCGAGAGCGGAGACTCCGAAATCGCCTAATATGACGTCACACCGCGGGGAGGAGGAGCTTCGGCCATGCATTGAAAATTATTTTCTGCCACCGCGTGCACCAAAGCGAAAACTAATCTCAGTATGTGTGATCCCGGAGGTCGAATGAAGGCGACTGAAGTGTTTTTCCCCAAATACAAAAATCCGCTTCAGTTTCCCTTTAAAATATATTTTCTGTTACTTTCTAAGGAAAGTACACCTTTAAACTTCAAAGTACAATTCCCGAATTACGTCAAACCTTTTTTCCATAGCGGGGTACAAGGCGGCTCCCTATAAAAAAACATGGTAGACGAAAGGCATAAAAAAAGCACAATTTCGGCAAGCCGGATTGTCTTGTGGTTTTCAATATCCACTGCACAATCTTATTTTATTTATGTTGGGGTGCAGATTTATGTCTTTTCATCAACTGGGTATACGCTGCTAGGTGCCCTCAGGAGCGAGCTTCCACAGAAGTCGTATCTATCGTCGCTCTCAGAAGGTAATAATAACTAGTGTAAAGCGCTGACAAAGGCACGTGGACGAGCGCGTTGCTTTGGGGAGTGAGTTTTTGCGCTCGGTGAAATTACGCTCGTTCAAGGACCACGCGCTCGCGCCCTTGGTTGCCCCAGCACTAGAGTATACAACACTTGAGGCCGAATATATGAGTTCACCAACATTTAAGAAAAAAATGTCTATCGTCTTTCGAGACGTCACCTTGTCATATCTCTGAATGAAGTAATGGCGACTAAAAGACCGACACCAATAAGTTGCTTAAAACTTATAAGTTGGCTGTGTTCTATAGTTCGTTTCAGCGAGAGTAAAACAACTACTCTGTGGCCACTTGACTTCATCCAAAGTTCGTCGCCATTTACACTGCATAGGATAATAAAAGAGAACCATGAAAGATTATGTTAAAAGGTGTTTATACTTTGCTTTGCAAGTGCATTGTATCTTTAGTAGATTACTGCAAGTACATTGCGTCCGGTGTATACTTACTACTTTACTGGAAGTACGTGACCTTTCATTTACTTTTTAGCTTAGTTCAATTACTCTTTAAATACACTTTACGCAACACTGGAAACACCTAATTGGGTGTTCATACCCACGTGTAGTGCGATCACGTCACAGCGCTAGAATACTGAAGAAGCAAACGAAATAATATTTGAGTGAAGTGTGCGAATCGGGGCGTGTTTACCACAGCGCTTGCACGGTCGCGTGCAGATATAGAGCTGTTTCTGTTGCATGTGTCGAGAGTTCATTCTATTTCCGTATACCTCGAAGGTAAGGTGAAGACACATGGCGAAGAGAACAGACACAGAGGGTTGTGTTTCTGGGAGAAGCACAAACGCGAAGATGTGCAATGAAGCCTATGGAAACACGCACAGTTACCAAGGGGGCGGTAAGCTAGTCGGCGTATTTAGAGATCTGGCCCGGCAATACTTTCCACCACGTAACGCTACTGCAACTAAACAAAAAGATTGAATGAAGCTATGATGATGACACAGGTTATCAGGGGAAAAGTGCGAATATCGATAAACCCGAAGCTGCTACTCACAGTGAGGAACCTCACAGAACCTAAAAGGGCACCGCAGCCTCCCAGGAAATGCCGAGGGATCAATGCTGTGCCGCCTATTGATACTATGCCCCTTTTTCTGGGGGCTTACATAGCTTTCGAATTTTAGCTCTTACTATTGGACAGGCACGTAGCCAGGGGAGGGGGGGGGGCATGGGGCCCGGGCCCCCCCCCCCTCCCCCCCCCCGAAATCTTTCATTTTGCTGGGACCTCCTCTCCCTGCTCCTCTCATACAGCATTTTGTCATGGGCGGGCTCCCCCGAAACAAAATCCTGGCTACGTGCTTGCAATGAGAACCGTATGGGCTCTCAAGATAGCGGCACTAGCTTTGTCAGGAGTATTTCTTGCGGCGCAACCTAGTGAGAGTGCCTAAATCGCCCCAGAGGTCTTAATCAGATTCGTTAATGTATTCCAGTACAAACCAAGTTCTGTTCTTACGAAATTCACAACTGCTTTCCCGAAGAGAACTCCAAAAACAAACCGCTGCTCTCCAAAACAATGTATGCGCTTTAAAAAAAGAAAACCAATGAAACCTCTACTGGGCACTTTCTATACCTAGAAAATAACGAATCCCGGAGAACATCTTAGTATAGAGCTATGAGATCTGCGCTTCTTATTTTCTGATTCGTTCTTTAGCTCTTTTGTAGATGAATTACGCAACCTCCTTGGCTTCCTGGCGATAATAACGTGCTCGAAACTCTCCGCGAACTCAAGTGACTAATAAATGACGTTAATTCAATTAATGCAAAGGTGCAAGCGAGCTTGACAAGAATGACGATAATGAGCCTTGGAGAAGGGGAACAAGGGGGACAAAGGACAAACAAACATCTCCAAGCATAGCTATATGTGACTAGTGCGCGATTGAAAAAAATCCGTCTTGTCCTGGTGTGAACCTAGGGACCTCTACATTTCTAGTGGAGCGCACCAGCACCAGCCACCTAGCTGTGTTCGGAGATTTCTGTGTGTCCTTTGTCCCTCTTGTTCCCCTTTTCCGGCGACTAACAGATACATTATGTTGTCTGAAAATTACGAGCTATCAGGGGTTTATGACGGCGGCTTATGGACTATCAGAGGTCTTTGACTGTAAGTGGAAAATTATGACGAGGTTTTTATTGTTGCTCACATGAACCATTCAAAATGTCTCATTTTGGATTCAACATGATGTAAAACATAGTATGTAAAAAACATTTTCAAATATAATCAAAAGTTATTTACTGCGCCCATTAGACCGCCAGGAAACTCTTATAGAAGGTAACAGATTACCTGACCCTACTAATATTCTTAAAGTGTGCATAAAGTGGCTCCACTGCTCTTGCGTCACTGGGCAAGTGACCATGTGTTGCAACAATTAGAAGTTTATCCCATTTCATAGAATATTTAGTCGAGGGTTATGGAAGTGGAAGCCTCATTCTAGCATACTGAAGAAATGACGTAGACAATTTGACAAAACTTAAGGCGCATTTCTCTAGCAACGGAGTAGTGTTTTCATGTGTTTCTCATTTCATCGATACGAGGCTTTGTTGTTGTGCAGTTTTGAGGGTTCAATCTCATTCATGTCTTCCAAGTACCATAAGATATGCAAGAAAACATACCGCGGGCGTTGAAACGCCAGCTTGATTTGATAAAACTTTATGCAATGGCAGATAAACGCCAGGGTGTTTTGCGAATACTTCCAAAACTCTCTACAAATAGAGTGATTAAAAAAAGACGGAAACCCTTTTTGGTAACAAACTGTCAGCCACCGGCGGGCGTCAGGAATAGCGAAAAGCACTCTAATCAGCAAAACAATTATGTAAAATTTCAAAATGAAATTTTAATGAGTAAAAATTAATATAACGTTATAATTAGAAAGTTACAAACATGGATGGTAAGAAAAGTCATCGCAAGTTTTCCGCCTGATGCGCGAGTGATAACTTTAGCACCCCCCCCCACACACACACACACATGCACCACGCTTAATACGCACTTTAAGTCTCCCTAAAATTAATTGGCTTAGGGGTTTTTGATGACGCCTGGAATCTTTCTAATTAGAACCATATGTTCATATTCACTCATTAAAAAGTTTATTCATAAAATATAGGTAATTATTTCGCTAATTAGTATCTTATGCAATGCCTAATGTCCGCTGTGGCTAGAAGTTTGTTTCGAAACGAAAATTTCTTTCTCTCCCATTATTTGTATGGATTTTTCGAAAGTATACGCAGAAACACCCACTGATGTGTGGTTATCGTGAACTTAGCTGACCGCATTTAAAACATTCAAAAGCTTGCAGTAATCATCAATTTGACGAAGGTTAAAACACTATTGCCTGTCTGACGCCAGTTTCATGAAGAGACGAGACCAAACATTTGGTGCGCCAAGGGACCAAGCCTGTGCAGATATAAAGTATTCTGATTTTCATTCATTACTTTTTAACACCTATTGGTTACGCTGAAATGTACAAATCTGTGATAAACAAAAATAGTTTAGGATATAAGTCCTTAGCTTCACGCTTTGAAAAGGATGAAAGAAACTTAATTCGTGCTTTTATCATACCCACAGGTCTTTTTGTAGATAACAGCTGCTGACTTCATGCGTTCTTCACATTTCGGTGAGCGCACAAAGTTTAGAGTGGGTGATATGCTGTTATATTGTTCAGCAGAAGCGCCGGACGGCGAAATCGAAAGTTTCGTAGCCCACGAGGATAACTTCAACCACGTGAAAAGGGTTTCTTCTAAGTATTCTGATAATTCGCACCACGAG